GTCGACGCACAAATTTCGGTATTTAGATGGCAGCGGCAGTGAAGAAGGAGATATGGATTATAAGGCACGACCCAAGAGTTGTCAATCAATTGATCAGCTTGATGGACTGTTACTCCCCCGTCAGAGGGTGCTCGACGACGGTGAGTAGGATATCCTGTAGCTTCATTCCACGGTTCGCTCTGAAAAGTCTTTGGGGGAAAAACGTGTGCATCGGTCATTGTGCATGCATGATGCGTCGGGGTTGTATATTCCACATGGATTGTGTATCATGTGAGATAGCACGAGTTCGCACAGTTCAGGATTCTGCGGAATTTCAGCGCATACAATGCTGTCAATTTGCTCTGGTCTACTGATTTTAGCATCATCCTTGAGTATTATAATAATGTGAGCATGTGGCCAGCCTCGTTTTTGAAATTCAATAATGGAGACATATGCAGCAGTTACACCGAAGATGTGAGTTGAGTGGATGTCGTGGATGAGTTGTCTCAGGTATCCTTTGAAGACTCGGGCAAGCAAGTCTGGTCTATCTGTCGGCTATTGGTTTGGCAAGAGCGCATTTTCAATTTCCGGTCAATGCGAATTGCAGGTTATTGTGATGAAGAGATCAGGAGCGCCTAATTCTTAAATGGTCGCCATTGCGTCTTGGTATCGACGGTGCATGTCACGTGGACCTCATGTGAATGTTGCGGGTAGAATAATTCGTTGGCCAATGGTTTCTGCATTGTCATAGAGCATAATGTGATCGTGGAGGTTTTGATACAGATCTGCTCAGATTTTTGCTTGGTGGAAACGGTTGTATAAAAGGCGGGCATTTTCAATTTTAGCAAAAGTCATGCACACATATTCCCGAAAGAGACGTGAAGCATGAAAAATTGTACTTCTTTCTGTATAGTGTGTATTGAGATGAAATGCGGAGAATTCTCGAGCAGTGATATTATGAATATTTGGATCTGCTTGTTCATCTTTTTCGGCTGCCCATCCATCTTCGCCTGAAGGAAAGAGTAGAGTATAGTGAAGCGGATTAAATGCTCAGTTTGTTTCTGGAATAGGTAGAACACCACCAGTTCGTCAATGGATGACGATTTCAAGATTAACGGGTTCATCATTCATTAAAATACAGAGCTCTTTGAGCCCTTCTGGTCTGTTGTATCTTCGAGCGTGTTCTTGTAATTCTTATGCATCTGGATTGATGACAACATGAAGGTTTTGTATCATGTCTTCTGGGAGTTCACACAAGGTAATGAAATCCCAAACCCAGCGATTACATTGACAGAGTAAAAAATGGAGCTTTCGCAAGAGGTGTTTGATGGCTTGGACCGTGGCGAGCGGAATATCCGACGGGAGGTCAAGTCGTTGTAAACGTAGGAGGGTTGCATCAGTGTCATCCCGTGGATCATGTATGTATATTTGTACAAATGATGGTTTTTGGTTTTTATCTGGCATGAGCGAACCTATGTGTTGTTGAAGCTGTCCCTCCATTCTGAGCATACCCGCCCAACGACTAGCATGTATTTGCGTTTCTTTAACCGACTGAGATGCAAGTGCAAACGTGTTGTGGAATTGACGTTGGCGCGAACGTAGCAGTCGTCCGTATCTGTTATCTGTTTCTCATAAGTGCAAAATGTGACTGGTTGGTGTTAGGTGATTAGGATATGTCCATAGTGGTGGTTGTACCTTTCCTCGTAGACAACAGAGCGTTGTCCAAGTACTCTCATAAGACCATTTCTCTACTGCGCAGTACGTGCAAGGTGTCCTATCTCCAAGAGAAACGACATCTATGACAACTTGTCGTATGAACAGTGTTGACATGTAAACGCGCGCGTTGTTGATGTGTGGTCGAATATTCTCAATGTGTGCTTGTCTATAACGCTGTCGACGTTCCGGGACACTCAACCTAAGGGCCAAAGGTGCCACGGGGGCCGAACGACTGTTCTTTCAGTCGTGCAATATCATGAAGGGTTCGACCCTCACGATACTTCGAGATTGATACTTGAGTATCATAAGCGGTACTCGGATCAACGAAGGACCGCTTGATTATGGGCACTACATAGTACGTCATCATTGCGATTGCTTGCGCATTCATGCATTGCTAGTCGATATGAGAAAACTCTGCATCTGCGAGGTTTTATGCTAAGTCTCGCGCGCGTCGCCTATCCGATTTCCGGTTCAGAAGGTTATGGGATGTCTACAAAAGGGACCAGGAATGTTGTGATGTTGTTTGTTTTGAGTCGTTCCGTATGTGTGAGTGTTGCGGTGTAACGCGTGGTGAGTAGGATGCGTCCTAGTCGACCGACGATGAGTCGCGCTTGGGACTTCAGCCCCCTAGTGCGTCGGTTCGTGTGCAGGTTCGATAGAGGCGTAAGACCGCGCGTGCCCCCTATGCTACAGCGAACGAGAAACGCCATCAGCTTTTCCACCTCTGCGATTGCAACTGATTATCTTTCGTACTATGGACTGGTAGCTCGGCGGGGATACGCCCACCGAAAGGAGGTGATAGCTATCGCAGGTGGAGGTAAGTTATACCTCGTGTATACCCTATCCTGTCGTAGGAGCTCGCGAGAGGTATGGCTGGCGCACTTGGCCGGAGCAGCTTGTGGAAGCTCCATGTGTATCGTGACGAGAGTAAACCAACTTTTGCGTGACGTGGCCGGGAGGGTCCCGCACTGCGCGAGACCGATGCGCTCGACACCATAATGTTCATGTTCTTTTGCTTGGCGGTAATAAGTACCCAGAATGGTGCCCCCCTTAATAGAAGGGTCTGTGTGTGAGGGGGTTTGAAAAAAGGCAAAATGAATAGTACCAAACTCAAGTTCGTCCTCAAATTTTTCAAAGGGATAGTGTTTCACCACTTCACCCAAATTCAATTCAACAATGATTTGGAGTGAAGCTATTAAATGAAAAATAACATGATATATTGAATCCCAAATATTTTGGGTTTACTCGTGCTCTTATAAGAATTCATCTCACGCAGATCCATTGACAATATAAAAAACACTTCCTATAATTTCCTTTTCAACTCGATTTCTACATCCTACTCCCCACGTAACCATTCCACAATTTTCCTCGTACTTGCCATGTAAGTGGCAAGATTCTTCCCTTCGTTTTAGTAATGGGTACGTTTAGTAGCAGGGTCAATTTCTCATGAGTCATGCTTGGAGTTTTCGTACACGCAAGCGAGTTGTTTCTTAATCTTATTTGAGAGGTTTCCTTCTTTTTCCTTAAATATGATCGTGACCACATAAATCCGAAGACACTCCGATTGTCCGTCCGATAAGTTTTCGTTCAGGTCAAGGTGTGGAAAATCCTCTCTCAGTTGATCCGTCTCAATACACAAACCAGAGGGACTTCATAGAAGCAAGCATCGAGCAATTCCCTAATATACGTTTTCCCCTCATTCGTGTACAGTTGAGTAACAATGTTATTTAGATTGCTTTGTACGAGCCCATGCAAATCTGGCATATGCGATTACATACTAAATCCGTTTGATATAACACGTAGTTAAAAATTAGATGCGTAATAGATAGTATGAATGCCTCAGTAAATAAGAACATAATGTGGTATACCTTCATCCACGTGAGTTGTTCACCTGCCTATTTCTAGGGAAAAAGTGGATGTATTCCACCAAAAGTGTTCGTATGCTGGTGTGTGTCTTCGTGTGGTGAAGCAGTGAGGGGGATACTCAAATGGGGGCTCGAGTCACCTTTGGGAAGGTTTCTGCTCCGTTTACCAAGTAAACGGTTGCTATTCCGGGGTGGATAGCGGCGTGGCTTCCCTAACCACCATAGCTGAACTACAATGGCCGGGCAACGTTCCAAGTACCTGGAGAATGTTGAAAGAGTACTATTATAGCGTGGTGGTGCGACAGCTGAGCAGGGCACTAAGGACTGCCAAAAAACAGCACTGGGGACGTCGCCACACCCCCCTTTTTTCCTCAATCCATTTCTCTGGAACACGGAGTACCAACTTTCCAAAAACAACTTACCAACTTTCCAAAAGAAAAGAAAAAAGAAACAGGACCATCGGGCTCCCGGCTCAGCAAAATGTGGCGCGCAGTGAAATTCAGGGTCGGCAAAGGGAGGCTCGGAGTACCTTTCAAATCTGGACAGGAAGGCCTTTTGGGCCTTTTCTTATTTACCTTTACAGTATTATTATGGGGAACCCAATTGGAGACAACCCGTGTTCAAGCCTCCAACGAGGGAACATGTGGGGGCTGCACCCGATACCGACCAGCGGTCAGCCAGTAGCATCAGGACCAAGCTTCTTCCATGGGCCAGTCGCGGTGCTTCCCCTCGGATCCCCTCCCCCAACGAACATCAGCCGTAATTGCTCCATATCGGCTTGTTCGATGGTCCAGTCGCTGTGCTTCCCCTCATCACCAGTCACTACTCAGCGCCGCTCGGAGGGACCAACGGGCCATCTTTAGGTGGCGGGTACCAAGCTCGCCCAGGAAGGTGCAAGAGACTCCTGAATGCCACTTGCGTGCCTTACCAACTGAGCAAGGCCGCTGGATCTCGCTGTATAGCTCGCCAAATGTGCAAAACGAATCCCCACTAGAACATCGATGATTGGATAGATGCACCGGCATTATTTTTCTCTTTCGTGACCTGCGCGACCCCGGGGCAAGGTCCCACTTGCGCAAATTAGGAGATTTCGGTCGTTGATCTTTGCTATCTACGGTCAGTATCTCTTAATTCGTGCAAGTGGGACCTAGCCCCCGGGCATCGCCGCCCCACTCACGGAATGTGAAAAAGACAACCTATGGCGGGTGCATCTGTCTACGTTTCTGCGGACGCTACAAGCTCCATTTTGCACACTCTGGGACTGGTTTGGCGAGGCCCCTAACCTACGGGAGCAGGTGCGGCCTGGATTGGTGCTCTCTCTCTCTCTCTCTCTCTCTCTCTCTCTCTCTCTCTCTCACGCCTCCTACCATGTGCTATTCTGCCTACGCGACCTACCGTACACGTGCTGCGACGTGCTACGTCCTACGTGCATTGGTGCTGGCGACGTAAATCTGAGCTACGTGAGTGAGCTTGCTGGTGCTACGTGAACTTCTACGTGGCTTCCGGCAGCGTGATATTGAGGCATTGTCTACTTTTGTGGAACTTGGACAGCTGGGCTAAACCTTGGCCGAAGGCTCGCCCCATGTTGGTCGATCGGCGCCGGCTGGAGGCTTCTTTGGCATGACTGACTCAAGTGAGTCTCCGTTTATCTGACCTCCTCGCTATCCGACCTCTCTGCTTCTCCCTTTCCGCCGGATCTCCTCCTAACCTCCTCGTTCTCTCCGCCCTCCGTCCGGCCCCTCTCCGCCCTCCCCTTCCTATTTCCGCTTGACGTCCGCCCGATCTCTCTCCCTCCCTCTTCTCTCCTTCCTTCCTCGGCGATTCCTCCGACTTCGGCCCTTCCTCCGTCCCTCCTCCGTCCCTCCTCCGTCCCTCCTTGGCCCTTCCTTCTCGACCTTCCCTCCCCCGTCCCTCCTTCCTCCCATGGCCCTTCCTCCACCCTTCGCCCTCCGTCCTCCCTCCCTGCTTCCTCCTTAGCCCTCTGCCATCCCTCTCTCCTTTCGCCCTTCTTCGCGCCCGACATAGAGAGTGCATTTCGTCTTTCTTTTTCTCCCAATTGACGTAGACTCCCTTTTCGTATTTCGACCACAGACACACGCACACACACACACATACACAGAGAGTGAGAGAGAAGATGCGTTTCTGTTGGCGAATTGAATCTAAGAAAGTGATGACAGACGGGTAGAACGGAGAATGGGAGAATCTAGGGACAGAGATGTTGGGGCGGGGGGGAGGAGGTAGGGGGAGAGGGGAGAGACACACACACACACACACACACACACACAGACACA